CAAATGTCAACACTGTTTCTGGGACGCAGATCGAGGACCAAGAGTGATTTAAGTATGAAGATGTATGAGGAGGAGATACAGGTATGTGGGCCTGAGTTGGAAATCTCAGCAAGTCTCTGTGGTGAGCAGAACATTGCCTACAATAACAGACCATCCTTTCAAACACGGGAGGCCTTCTTCCTCCAAGACCCAGGTAGCCACATGCTCTGTGAGAAGGGTGGGCAGTAGATGAAACGTACTTTAGATTGATCCCTTCTTGCACTCGGGGACTTTCTTAAACCACAGAGCACGTCAGAGCCTCCTCAGCGGGTTCAGTGCCCGGCTGTGCAGGTGTGTGTGAGCCGAGTCACAGGAACGGCATGCTCGGTGTGTGCAAAGACACTCCGGCTTGGCTGAGCTTACCTCAGCGAGGTGGACGTGTTTGCTGGGGCTACAAGCACACGCGTAGTGCGTTCCTGGCGCTTGGCTGCTGCACACTAATTGGTTCAGGCACTGGAATGTGATTGTGTTTGAGCTTGGGCGTGTCTGTCTGACACGGAAACCAAGTGTTCTCTTGGTTTTCCATCAGCATGGGAAACACTTAAATCAACAGCTTCTCTGGATTGTTTAGAGCATTCCAGCTAGTGCCCTTCGTGGTCAGGAGCTTTACGCTATGGATTTGGTCACTGTAGTGCCTGCCAGACATTCACCTCCAGGTTGAAGGTCATGGGCCAATGTAATGATTAGTACTGAAAGAATTAATTTCGTAACCATTTGAATCTGTCCTTGGTCCCTTGGGCTGCTAGCTTGGGCATGAGTCTTCAGTCCCCCTAACAAAAATAAACATGTTGTTTGCCATGGAGCTGGGTGGAAATCTGCAGAGCAGCTCCCTGCCTGTTTAGTTTGGTCTCTGATTCAGGGATGTAACATCCTGTAACACCCTGGGCTCTCCCCAGCCTTGCAAGCAACTCTGCAAATCCCAAACATCACGGGGACATCGATATTAGAGCCCTAGACGTTCAGGAGAGAGAGGGATGTTTCCTTGCCCAGGATTGTCAGTTCAGCCAACTGTGGCTGAGCCGTAGCTGGCTCTTCTTGCTTGGACCGTGGGTGGCGTGCTCTCGGTGCATCCATCGTGGCCACGCTGTGGTTATCCAGGTGGTTCCAGGAGGTTAGGCTATAGCCAGGACTTTGGAAAGAGCCCCTCTGTGCCCGAGCAAACGTGCCCTCACACGGCAGAGCGGCCGAAGGCTCTGCCTTTCAGGGGGCTGCTGGGGGGCTGCGAGGGCAGTGTGGGGCAGAGCCTGATCTCGCTGTGTTTGATCTGTTGCAGGAATGGTATGAGGAGCATTCCAGAAAAGAGGAATCTCAGACACCGTTGCAAGAGCCTGTATCTGCTTCCAACAGCTCTCTGAAGCCCCTGAGCCTCCGACAACGCTCCCAGACTGTCATTTAGGCCTAGCTAACGCAAGCCGCCTTCTATGCAATAACCTAGAGTATTACTTCACAGCGTATATATTGGGATGATGTATATAGATCTGTTCAGTGTACTGTTCGGCTTTAGGGTTTAAATCTCTTCCCCTAGGCAATGAATTGCTGAAAACCCAGAGGCCCAGGGGACTCTGTGTAAGGCTGCTATGCACAGATTGAGCACGATGCCCGTGCTCAGCACAGAGTGAACATCTCGGACAGAACAGAGCCCTTCTCCCTCTGAGCCGCTTCCCAGGCTCGAGTCTGCTGTTTATCTTACCACTAACAGACCTTGGGGAAAGGGATGTGTAATCCATTAACAGCAGGAAATGCTTAACATTAAAACTTTTGCCCTTTTTGAAGATCTCTTTTGCTTAAAGGGTACCGTTAACCTAGGAATAAAAGATCAGGGAGTGAGGTTTTGTTTCTTCTCCACCTTCCTTATGCAAAGAAAGGGACGGTGGTGTGAAATTTCAGCACTTTTGGAAGAGCAGTCTGCCTTTCCCCTCCTTTTTGGCACACCTAGATGCACTCCCTGTAGTAGATCCAGCTCTGATAATTGCATTAAGCTGTCGCCAAGCGTTTCTGTGGCAGCTGGAGACAGAACTGAGGGCCAGCATCTTGTCGTCTTACGACCACGGGTGGGACAGGAGCTTGGGGAGACAAACTCTGTCTCTGCTGTAGCTATGCAGTATCTGCATCGCTGCTGGTTAGTTCTGCCTGTGGCACTGCCCGGGACTGGGGTCGCCTCTGTAAACCCCAAAGCTCCTGTCTCTGCGCAGCGAGAGGGTGACGGTGGCTGCTGACCTCTGCCACTTGGCCACCTGCTCTCTAAACGGCAAACCTCTAGCTGGTCCTTAGCTCAGATAGATGACTAAGAGAAAGAAATGGAAGGGTTTGCAGCTCCAAGTGACTTATTTCTGCCTGGCTCTGGGTTAAGGAGAGCTTATGGGCATCAAACAGCACTGCTGGTTAGTCCTCAGCCAGGTCATTGCTTTGTTTATGCAGGTGAGCGAGTCCCAGCGCAGCAGTGTTGCTCCTCCCTCGCTCTGACCCTTGCAGAAATGTTCCTCAGGCTAGCAAATGCTGAGTCGGATCTTAGGAAGATCCACTGAAAAGCTTTACTGTTTCTCTGAATTTTGGATGCAGGAGGAATGTGGAAGATGACGATTCTTCTCATCCATCTGCTTTTCTGCAGCTGGCAAGGAGGCTGCCAGATCTGGTCACTGAGGGATGGGAAGGAAGGGGAAAAGAGATCCCTTCCCAGCCCTGCCACATTTATTCTGTGACCACGTCAGGTTGCGTCATCACTTGTGTTTCATTGCCCGCAACGTGATGGGAACTTGCCTCTGTAAGTCCCCTTTTTTTGCCCGTCAGCACAGAAAGTGCTGAGGGCTGGAAGTATCTGTCGACTGGGAGGCTCCGCTCACCTCTTGCTGTTTGATCTTTTCTCAGGTTCAGACTAAGAGTAGAGCTTGCTGTGGAGAATTTCTCCCTTCCTCCAGGTGGATCAGGTGGTGGGAGATCTGTGTGCCCGTTCCCCTTGTCCCACACACCTTTTTTTTCCTTGGTAGCCTCACCGCGTGGCACCAGGACAGCGGGAGAGGACTGGTCCTACCTGGGCAGCTCAGGAGCATTTCCTGGGTGGATGAGACTTTCAAAAGTAGGCAAGACAGAGCTGCTTCTGAAAACCTCTCCCTTCAAAGCACGGTGGGAACATTTGGGCTGTGGGATGGAAAGAGTTGGGTGAGCAGCTTTCCGGGCAGCACGCACACCAGCGTCTGCTCTCAACCCTTGCCAAAATTCCCTGGGGGCCTCAGGGCAACTCTTTGTTTCCTTTCTGGGTACTGCAGGTATGAAACTACTTCTGAGCTGAACCGTGAAGGACCTTAAAGGGCTGTTTTCCAAACCATAAATTCGACCACAAATTAATGAGCAGTGCAGTTGTTGCTCTTGCAGTTGCTCTGCATGGAGTCGCAGCCTGGAGATTTATCCAGATTAGTCCTGGGGCTGGAGGAGATGTTGTTTATTCTAAGTTGTGGGCAGGATGAATGAGCATTGTGAAGGTTAGGGGGGAAAAAAATGCGGCTGTGTTGTAAACTCCGCGTTCCCCTACAGCCTGTTTCTCCTCGCAGTGACTTTTTTGGGGGGGTGTTTTCGGGGTGTGAAAGGTGCTACAGCTTTAAGCTATATTGAGGGGGGCACTAACCTGCTTCACATGCAATAACAGGGCGCTCGTGTCACAGAGACGGGAATGCTTGGACTGGGGTTCAGGGCTCGGGTGCTGCTGCCGTGGTTTCGTGCTGAGGTGTTGATCTGCCCCCAGGTACACACTGTATTAATTATTTTTGTAAAAGCAAGGAGGGTCGCAGAAGCTTACTTCTTCCATACGACTTTGGAAGGAAACAAAGTTTGAGTACGGGGCATCCCCTTCTATTTATCCTCCTCTCCCCCACCTGACACACAGAGTAATGACCGAGACAATCATTTTGTAGGGAGCAAGGGAGGAAGCGCTGCAGGATTTTGTATGCTGGCGTTTTGTTTATAAAATGATTTTATGGACACGTCTGTAAAATGTTCTCTGGATTTTTTTCAAGCACACTAATAAAAAGCATCCTCGGCTTTGTAAAGGCAGCGGCTTCCTTTCCTCCTTCCTGGGTTATTCCAGACACGGGGCTTGGCCGCAGCTGAAGAATTTCCACAGGTTCTGAAGAGGAGCGGTGCCCGCCCTCCTTCTCCAGTGGCAACTGCTTGCGTGGGCATATTTTGCGTGCGTGCCCTGCTGAGCTGCTCTGAATTCTTGTTCCTGGACACTGCAAAGCCCAGCTTCCCTTCTGCCCTCCCCCCTGCCACCTTTTTCCCTAAACGTTAAGGTAATGCTTTCAAACTTAGGATTTTTACAGCTGGTAAATGCACTGTTTAAGGATAGAAGGGTTTTTCTGACCCTGTACCTCTGTATTGGTACGTTGGCAGCGGTTTTGATTGCTTTAGCCCTGCTGCGTGTAAGAAGTGGGGGCGGTCTCCCCGGATAATTCCTGCAGCTGCTGGTAACTTGTGAGCAGGTTCAGGGCAGAGCCAGTAGCCGCAGGCACAGGGAGCGTTATTTTTTGTGAAAGCGCGGATCTGGTTAGAAAAAGGAGAAACGATCCAGGCCTAGGAGGCTGCGGGCTCCCCTAGAAGGGAGCAGGAACAAGTTTGGCAGTTGTGCTTCTTGCAAAACAGCTCCCCTCTCTTCCTGCAGAGCAGAAATAGGGTTGTCTGGCCGTAATGGCGGTTGCCCTGCAGACCCTGCGACGGGGAGCAGAAGCACCAGCCCCCCTCTCCGCTTCCCCTGGGACCGTGCGCTGCCCCACCGGTTGCCCCCCCGTGACCCCGATCCCGGGGGAGCCGATAATGCCCCGTGCCGGCGGCTCGCAGCCCGTGCCGTGACGCTGCAGTTAAATAAATGGCAAATAAACGGCCGAGTCAGGCGCATGTGACTGTTGTTGAGAAATCAACTGCTGGTGAACCTGGAGGAAACAGCTTCCCCGAGCTGCTGGGGAAAACCGCTCTGCGAGGCTGAGGGTGTCAGCCCCCCCCGGCCCCTCTGCTGCTGCTGGCTCAGCTGCGGCTGGTCCCCTCCCCCCCCCCAAAGGCACCGGCCAGGGTTGTGTCACGCTACGCACAGAGCAGGAGAAAACACCTTCCCAACAAACAACACAAGTCAAGGTTGGGTTTTTTATTGCAATTTTTTTTTATTTTTTTTTTTTAAACAGTGCCTAAACCTAGTCTTGCTGGAGGCTAACAGTGTGGAAACCTCCAAGTCCTTTCCTACAGCTCTATCCAGCCGAGGAGGAGGAAAAAAGTAGGATCTGAAACTCAAGTTGAAAAACATAGCTTAAAAAAGCAGGGGAAACCAGCCTCCCTTGGTTTGTTGGTTTGGTTTTTTTCATCCAGCTTTGCTTGCATTAAAACCAAGCGCTGCCCTGGAGCTTTGTCTCACCTTAAACCTGTCCCGCTTGGCCTCAGCTGCTATTTCAAACCCGCAGCGCGAACACGTCACGTCCTTTGCAATGACAAACTTGTGCTCACACCTTCAGAGAGTTACCCCTGCAGCACGCCTGCCCTAGCCCTGTCCCAGAACAGCCAGGATGAAGACAGGAAGGGGGAAGTAAAGTGGCTGAAGAGGTAAAACCTCTCCTGATGTGACCCTGGGCTGGAGCTGCCCTCTCCTCTGCCCCTGCCACCAGGACCGGAGGAAGCCAAGGTCTTAACCTCGCTCCTGCTCAGAGCCACCTCGAGTTAAATAAGATTAAACAGAGCGGGGAGAGGACGTAACTAATGACTAACAGCTCCTTTTCCTTTCCCGAAGCACAAACAACCCACCCCCCTTCGGAAAGCGAAGGCCGAGGGCTGGGCTGGCACGTGATGCCTCCAGCATGTGGTGGCACAGCATGGTTGGGGTCGAGGTGTCCTTGTCCCCCTGGCAGGGACAGGGAGAGGGGGCAGCGGGGCCCCGATCCGGCGGGGAGGCAGAGCGAGAGCCAGGGCTGGATGTGCATCTCCCGCCGGCGGTGGGGCCGGTCAGATGGCGGAGAGACGGATCACCCTGAACTCGGTCAGCAGGGCCACGCAGAGGAAGGCCAGGTAGTAGAGGATGAGGCAGACGCCGTACGCCTTGCCCAGCTGGAAGCACTGCGCTGGCACCGACACGAAGGAGAAGACCAAGCTCAGCCCCAAGGCCCCGGCGAGGATCCAGACGAGGAGGCTGTCGGGCTCCAGCTGCCGGAGAGACGGGGAGCGATGCAGG